TACACGACCACACTGTCAGACTCAGGTGGAGACACGTTCCTTGCATTAAGCCACAAGGCTGTTGGCTGGAACCAGCTCTAACAGAAACCCTCTGTCCTTGTACCTACTAGGAAGCTTTCATTTATTAAGAGACGAGCCCTATTGTGTGCTTTTGTTAAAATGAGACTATAATTTCAATCTTTACTTCACCAAAGTTAGATACTGAGGTAGAAATCAAAAATATCCCTTGAACTTCCTTCACAAAGTTTCTTTCTCTCTCTGCCTTGAAGTACACTATCTTACTTCCTGTAGGCCAGCGGTGGAGAACTACCAGCTACATTGCTAGCAGAGTGCTAATTAACACTGCCTGTTTTCCTCAGGACAGATCCTGCCTACCATAAAGTGATCAGCCTGTGTGCGAGAATAGGAGTGGAGGTAGCATCCTCTTCCAATCTCTGGAAAAGAGTGAAGCCTAGACAGCAATAGTCTCAAGAGCTGTTGGTTATCTGTTGTTTCAACATGTACTTGAGTACAGACACGTTCCAGGGAAATTTAGCTTCCCTTTGAAACTCCTTTTCCTTAGATGGACCCCTGGGGGTAGAACAGGTTCCAGTGCTGCAAATGCATGATGATGGGCTGCCTTTAGGAAAAGTGTATTCTCTTCCTAAGGTACAAACAGCATGTGAATACAAACACTCAACGAAAAGAAATTCTGGGCTTGAATCTGTGCCACCTGACAGGCCTCAGGGTATCCTGCTTTGCTACCAGCTGCTGCTGCAGAAGACTACATATCTCCTGTAGGTCCTTGGTTACATTTGCCAACACTCTGTGGATACCCTCAGCATTTCAAATGGCACTAGATGCCTGTGCTTAGGCAACTGAATCAAGCTCCTTATGTACAGCCAAGAAAAATGAGGTTTTGAGTTCAAAAAACAAACAAACAAAACCTTTCTTCATGGGGAGTTTCCTCCTCTTCCTTTATCCCTAACAGACTCCTGTCATTACAGTGTTCTGCCTACACCTCCAGGCTGGTTTATAAGCTGCTCCAGCTTTTGCCACCAATATAGGCAATATTACCAGAACATCCCAGACAACTGGGGTGTGTGGGAAATATTTAGCAAAGGCACGGTAAATCCACTGCCACCAGAAAGCACTGGATTACCTATGTAGGGCGCATGGAGCTCCAAGGCTCATTTTGGAAAAAACTTACACAAATTCCCCACTCCCTGTGCAACCTCTACCATAAACAGAGGCATCTGGGCGACATCCCTTCCCCTCCTTTGTCCACTCTTCAAGTGCTAAAATGTAATTGCTTTTTTTGACTTCACACTCCAACCACAGAGCATGCAACGTAGGTCTGACACTTTAAAGCATCAAACTTGCTCTGTATGCATTGCACCACCACACTTGCCTGAACTGAGGACATTCCGGCTTGGAGGTAAAGCCCAAAAAAGACCCAATGCAACTACTCATATGGAAGAGTAAGGATATTTCACCAAGGTCAAGAATAGCACAGATCTGAAAATCTCAGACAAAACAAAACAATTCCTCAAGATCCATGCAGACAACATCCCTGCAACACAAAGAGGACATGTGTAACATGGTAAGGTCTAAGGACATTGAACCCATCCAGTAGGGGAAGATGAGATGCAAGGTCAAAGGCCCTCCAGGTACCAGCAGCAGGCATCTTTGTTGCCCCCCCCCCCGGCACTGTGGCCAGCCATTCCCCCGCCTGTCTTTGTCCCCCCCCCCCCCCCCGCACCGTAGCCAGCCATTCCCTTTGGAACAGGGGTGCAGAGGTTGGTGCAGATGGTGGCAGGGCCATTCTGCTCGCTAGCTTTCAGAGAGGACGGAAGCACAACAAACAGATCATTTTCACCGGCTCCTGCAAACAAACTTTTGCAGACTGAAGAATCCATCTTGCAGTTTGTGTAAATTAATATTCTGGTTATCAGATATTTTCCCATTCCTCTAAAACACCTCAGGGATGTAATTCTCTTTTCAAGCTCATTTGTTCAGGTTACCCTCATCTTTTCTCCTTTCCCTAAAATCTGGATATGACCTACCTCAGTTAACACACTTATCAAAACATATGCACTAAAACCATCCCACGTAATCTAGACTGCACCCTTTACATCTGTTAAAGAAATAGCAATGAGGATAAAATTTTCAAGAGCATCTAAACTGGCACAAATCTTACCAGACAGAGGGTTTCACTTGACAACCTGTTTTCCCCAACAGCAAGTCCACACTGCCCTAGTCCTGGGTCCTTACAACTACTACTGCACAATAGTTTGCTGTCTCATCAGCTGGGAGGATGACATGTGTTTATGGGGCCATGGCCCAAACCAAGTCACAGAAACGAGTAGCTGGAGATAGAAAAGAATGAAATCATCTTAAACTGACTCTGCTGCAGATACAATGCTCTTGCAGTGGCTCAGGTATTTCTGAAAGCACTGCTCTTGGTAGCTCTTTCTTAACCCTGGTCCGGCAGTCTGTCACAACTCATTAAAAATGACTGGTCTGTAAGCTATGTGAAGGAAGATACCTAGCAACAACAGGATTTCCTCTAGCAAGCAGATATGATAAATGGCAAAACTGACAAATGCGTCCTTGACAAAAAACAGACAGACAATGCTGATTGGAGCAGATACACACCAAGGCAAAATGCCAAACACTGTGCATGTAGATGGAGACATGAAAACCAAAGTCACAGGTTGATTGTCTGTCAAGTCCTGTTAGAACTGAAACCAGTTAATCCAACTGTAAGTTAAGGTAGGCAATGTGCAAAGGTAGACAACGTATCTTTTAGTATTAATGATTATCACTGGATTTCATGGCACATACTGCAAGAAAAAAGAGATTAAAATCAGGTGTTTATGCTTGAATGACAGCTATCAAAGGCAATGCAATAGTGATCAGAAAGTTTTGGGTGTAATTCCAAACTCCACCTCAAGTTTCCTGTCATTTAGGCAATCTTCTTTTAAAGGTATTTCAATGCAAAACCCTTTTTAAAATAATGGAAAAAAGACTCAAACAATGGAAGAGGAGACAATGTAAAGCACACCAAATATTTTCCCTGGGCTTGTTTCCCTTCTTTATTTGTAATTCAATATAGTGTTCTGCTTCTCCCACCTTTCCACTGCTTTTTTTGTTAACATAACAATTCAGTAGTGCTAGAGTTTATCTTGTCTACATGGTCTTGGACACTATTCTAACATTAAAACAAGCTACAAATACTTCCAGCTGGGCTAGTTTGTAACTTGAACTTTGCTTCTATTTCCTACAAAGGGAAAAAAAGCAAATACCTAGTAACTACTATTTATTGTATTTAAAACACATGCAAGGATTATAATTGTATGGCTTACCTCTAGGTACCTCCTTTTTAAGGCTATGGCAAGGCATTAAACTTAATTAACTACTTTCTTGCTTCTTTAAAAAAGTTGCCAATGTAGAAGTCCTGTTATATTTGAGCAGACTGCAATTCACAGTAAGATAAAAACAGCTCTCTTGGGAATGACACAATAATCTGTTATGCAAGGTGGAATAATGCACTTTTAAAAGAAAACCTCAAACACTGTTTTTTAAATGATAAAAAGGTGTTCATACTTCTGTTGGCAACCATGTTGGGAGAGGAACAGTGTGAGCTGATTTAGGGTTTATGCTCTTATCCAATCCATTTTGCTCTACTTAACCCAACTCTCCAGGCAGAATCTTAAAAAAACCCATCAGTTTAAAGGGATTTCTTGGACATGAGGAACCTCTGGAAAACCTGATAAAAAGCTTGTGACTACAGGCTCCTCAGAACAAGGCAGACATCAAGCACAAGCTTTTTTAATGGTTATTCTGGCTAACACACATCACACAACCTTTTTGCTGGGAGTAAGTGGTAACTAACACAACATTTCAAAGGAATTACTTACGTTCTAAGCCCGGCATTCTCTAATACCAGCTCTTCCAATCGATTGGACCTACTCACCACTCGCAGTATCTGCTCACAGACATCAGTGGACTGCCACAGAAAAGACAGAACAGCGTTAAAGAACACAAACATGGAACAGACGGTTACTGAGTTATAAGCTGTACATCGCAATGAGATCCAGGCCGTGATCAGCTTTTTGTCATACATAAATAGTAAGAAAGAATACCAGGAACATCCCAGAGAGAGAGTCAGATGGCAACAGAGGACTTCTGGAAAAGACTCAGGGAAGCGATAGGCAGACTAAAAGCGAGTCATTTATGAAGCAGACCACCTAATCGTAGGGGGCAGAATTTTTATAATGATAGTAAAAAAAACCCAAACCCTGTGATTCAGAAAAAATGCTCACTTAATTTTTAAAGAAGTCTTGTTCATATGCATGCTGATCCTTCAGAAGAAAGTGGCAACTAGTGCTAAGGAGAGTAAAGCCTGACCAGGAATGACAACTAAATACAAAGATGTTATAAGGCAAACACAAAACCTCCAAAAAAACGCAAGCACAAAAGCACTCTAGCTACGGGTCCTCCAAAGACTGCTAAGGACTAGTGAATCACAGAATACCAGGTCGGAATGGACCTCAAGGATCATCTGGTCCAACCTTTCTTGGCAAAAGCTCCATCTAGACAAAAGCATGGTCTAGACAAGATGGCCCAGCACCCTGTCCAACCGAATCTTAAAAGTGTCCGGTGCTGGGGAATCCACCACTTCCCAGCTTATTCCAATGGCCAATTGTTCACATCGTGAAAAATTGTCCTCTTGTGCCCAATCGGAATCTCCCCAGGCGTAACTTGCACCCATTACCCTATGCCTTTTCCATGTGACTCCTTGTAAAAAAGGAGTCTACATTGTCTTTGTAGACACCCTTTGAATACTGGAACATGGTGATGAGGTCACTCCTAAGCTTTCTTTTCTCAAGGCTGAACAAACTCAGTTCTCGCAGCCTTTCCCCATCTGGCAGGCTTCCAGCCCTTCGATCATCCTGGTGCACCTCCTCTGGACCCTCTCCAGCCTGTCCATGTCTTTTTTTGTACAGCAGGGACCAAAACCAAACACAGTTTTCCAGGGTGGCCTGACACGCGCTAAGTAGAGTGGGATAATGACTTCTTCATCTCTGCAGGTAGTGTTTAAGGGTCAGTGTATTTCAGTATGAATTCTCCCAACCTACATAGAAGTAAATCCATCTCATGATCTTACTGCTGTTGGATTCTAGAATTTGCATGGACATCCGCAAGTACCATGAACAAAACATGATAACAAAACAGTTTGTTTGCTGTGCTCATCAAATAGAGAGATAAAACCTTAATGATTCAAAAGCCATACAATGAACTCTGTACCTCATCACCTTTTATTATAATCTTTTATTTCACTGCTGGATTTGCCTTCCCCCCCACTCCCCAGCACACACTAACCAACAGTCATGGGAAGTCCAAAGTTGAATTTCAGTTATGAGCACAAAGTGCTTAAACTATTCTGTTACCTGCCTTTAAAAGCAACGTGACATTCATGCCTGGGACATGTGTCTCTTTCTAATGACAGTCTGACATTTCCTAGGATTTTTTAAATTTTAAACTAATTTAATCTCCTAAAAGGAAAAAAAACCAAAACCACAAACAACTGATCTACCACACACATAAAATCTTATTAATCCTTTACACAGTAAAGGTGATAATTTTTTCTAAAGACTGTCAACTCAGCCATTTTCCCAATTCTGTCTTTGCCTTCCATATTTCAGTAATTCAGAATATTATCACAATGCTTCTACAGCAGTGTGATTGCAAGTGGAAAGTTTCATGCATGTACTATAAAAACACTATCTATCAAAAACAATGTCAGAGCAGGACTCATGAAGCAGAAAGCATTCAAAGGCCTCCGGGTATGTCTGACCTCATACTGACCCTCAGCAGTATTCCTATGGCACAGATTTACTGTCCAACAATTTAAGTTTTCCTGGCGTTTTTGAGTGAAAATGGAATGTGTGAAAGATAAAGGGTTTGCTTTGCTTGTTTTGTGGGGGATTTTTAAGGAATTGGTGCATTTTCAAGGCAGACAAAGTTTATTTGTTTTCCACAGAAAAGTTGCTAAAAATTCCAAACAACTTTCACGTAAAAATAATCTCAGACAGATAATATGGCCAGTTCTTGTTCTAAGCAAACTACACTGTCCAGTCTTCTAACTAAGCAAACTATCTCATTTCACTGAGGCAGAAACTAATTCATTGCATTGTACCTTTTAACCATGGTGATTTTAACAGCGAACTACAACAGGATTAAAAATACCCCCAGTTTCCTTCCATGCATAATTTCAAGTAAGATGTCCCAGCAATAAAGAAAAGTTTTTTGCCTACTCTTCTGCCAAGAATCACATAAGCTAGTTTCTACTGAATTTTCATGGAAAATGATAGCTTAAGAAATGCAATAAGAGCATTTTCAGATCAATAAAATTGCATCAATTTAAACAAGATGAGATTCAACCTTCATTTTTAAGGACAAAAGCTTCTGGATGTAATTTCTCAAGCCACTAACTCCACTATAAACTTTCCAGTTTAGAAGAAATAGCATATTTTGATATATTTAAAAAGTCACCTAATTACTGATTTTCTTGGCCCTTTCTTCAGTAATCCAACTTGTTTAGATTTGTCCCCTTTTTTGCTTTTCAGAAAGAAAACTGATGTGGAAGAATATCAATGTCACACATCACTGCATACTTATTACTACATGGGGTTAGCTTCAGACAACTGGGAGAAAAAGTCATCAAGCTGCAATGAAAATTAAGAGGAAAAACATGGTTTCTATGTGAGAAAAAAGTCAGAATTATGATACTTGCTTTCCACCTCCAAAAGCAACTGAGATTTCTGGCTGCTTTAGAGTTAGTTTCCTGTTTAGTCACCTAATATTTTTGAGAGAGCTAGCAATGCCTAACAGATTAGTTTTATGGGCTACTGCTATGGCACAATGAAGTTTTCAAACTTGAAACTTGAAATTTTGACGAGACCTGACTCTTGGCAGTGTTTCTATGGCATGAATTAACTATCCAACAGTTTATATTTTCCTGATACGATTAAGGGGGAAAAAAATTCAATAGATTGCCCAGTTGTACTTGCCTAAAAAAGTTCACATTGAAAAACATAATAGCATCCTTTAAAAGACAGCACAGCCTGGTAGGAGCAGGTACACTGTTTCAATTTATTACTTACTAATTTCAGATCCTTGGAGGACAGCTTTGTAAACCACTGATTATACTCCAGAGCAGCAACTATAGGTATTAAGTCTCTAGAAAAAGAAAAACACTTTTACACACATTTCACATAACTGTCAGCTTCGGTCATTTGAAACAATCTCTTAAGTGTTCGTCCGCGTCTAATTCCCAAGCTTTTGCAATGCTAATTGCCTACCATCCCCATTATAGAAAGCTCTGCATTCTAAAAAATGAGCATCACCAGCAGCTGTGTGTCTTTCTCACATTTTAATACAAATTTTTGACTGGCCAACTGACATCCATTCTAGCATGAATTTTTAAACCAGGAATTTGTCTGGGCTGCCATTCCTACTTCTAGCATTACTTTTTCTTCTGCCTGTGACATATTTAAGCTTCTTAATCACCTCTAATTATAATTGAGCATGACGCTAAAAAGCTTTTTGGCAGTCTGATGATTTAATATAATTCCATGACTGAATGCTTCTAGAGAACACCTCCTGTCTCATCTCTATAGTTAAATTCCCCCAGGAAGCAAGAGACCTGCAAAAGGATAATGCGACTTTCAGTGCAAACCCTCCTCAATTGTAAAAGGGATTTCACAAATGAAATTTTAAATTATTCCCGTTTTCTTCATTCCAAGCCTCTTAATGTGATCTGCTCTCCCTCTGTTAAGTTTCTCCAATAGCAGACGTTGATAAATGTCATGTCCGTACACTACCCCCCAGCAGAACCATCCATCAAGCACTAGCATAATATTTAGCAGTGCAGCACTCGGATCATTTTGACACAACATATTAGATACATATATACGCCTACACTCGGACTTTACTTAGAAACCCCTTGTCTTTTGAGAAGAACTGTAATATACATGAACATATCTTACCAGGAAAATAGTGCCATCTGAGCCTCAGTTTTTGCAGGGAGAAATTTAAAAGTATTGGGGTTTATAAGCTAGCCCTGTCCCACCCCCCCAGGTTTTCATTCAGGACGTATGCAGGTAGGCACAGATCTGCACTAAACAAGCAGCACCCTTCTCACATCTTCTCCTCCTTCTTCCTCTCCTTCACTTTTCTTCCACGAACATTTAGACACTTCAGGGTGGTTGTTAAACACATAGGAAAGCCAGGAGACAAGGCAACATCATATGGACGAGCCTTCAGCAGGCTATATTGGGAACTTCAGTTGCTAGATTTGGAAGTATAAGCCCATCACTAAGGTAACTGTAAGAAGGTGCAGCATTTTTCAGCAAAAGACTGTAGCCCACCAACTGCAAAGCTCATGCAAATAATCGTTTTCACACTCCTGCAGAGGAAGTAGCGTGTGGTGCCCTTCAAGGATTAAGCCTGTTTTCCATCTTCTTCACAGCACATATCAAGTCTCGTGGTGCATTCATTTCCACTGGCACAGTAGAGTCTTATCAGCTTCATGAAGTGTATAGCTTTATTTCCATCCACCACACGGTTTTTGTTCCTACACACACACACTTTATCTCCATGTAAAGCAGTAACTGACTATTGAAACATCAGGTGGCAGGGGGAACAACCCAGAGGTATTTTCCCCTTATGTTGGGCAGGCAGGAACCTTGCTATGGAGTAGGGAGTGCCCACATAGAGGTTTGTTCCTCCGCCTTCCCCTGGAGCCATCGGTAAGAAGATAATGAATTAGCAGCTTTGATGTCCCTCTTGCCAGTACCTTTGCCTTGGAAGTGGAATGGATGTAAGAGTCATTTCTCAGGTGTGATTTTGGTTTATCCACCCAGTGGTGGTGAATACTGCAGGGCAAATGTTGGACAGGCTGACAGTACCACCACCGCACTGGTGGAGCAGAGATGTTCACCATTCCCAAAAAGGGCAGAAGGCACCACTAGCAGATGTATTTCAGCCATCAGCGGCAGCACCAGTTCCTCCAAAGGAGCAGAGGGACAACGATCGGGGATCACTGGGCTGCAAGTGTTTACACTGCCAGGGAGTTGGCTTGGAGGGCGGGCAAGAGCTCAGTACCTTCTGGGCAGGAGAGTGGCTGCAGGCAGAGCTTGCCCGAGGCCATCCCTTTCTCCCCTCTCCTCTCCCAGGGGCTGGGAGGGCAACAGCTGAAGGACAGGGGGTGCTCAGAGTTAGCGGGAAAACCATCACACTTTGAAGAAGTTAAAGAAATGCTGCTGCAGCAGGACAGGAATATTTTAAGACAACTCGACCCAGCTGATTTGCAAATTCTCATCTTTAAATAGTTTAGTCTTCCACAGTATTCAAGGCCTGTTTGTTCAAAGCCTAGACAAGCACAGATACCGGCATACTTCAGTAACACCGACTGCTAACCAACACACACACAGCCTCCTCCCTCCTCCTCACGTGCCTGAAGACAGTGGAACCTCTGCCCATTCTGCAGTAGCCTTACTGTCTAGAAACTTTGCTTTATCAGATTCTACCATCTGATTTTAAGGATAAGCTCTATGGTTTAGGCTTTTTTTTCCATTTTGTTCAAATTTTTGAAGGCGCTTCTGACAAATGAGGGTCCTTTAGGAATTTACTTCTACACCTCCTCCTGCTTTGAGCTTGCCTAACCTCATTGCACTTGTTACTGAGTTTTCCTTTTCAAAACTATATTCTGCTTTATTCACTTTATTCTATTAAATTCTAGATGTGGCACTAACAATGATCTTAATTATTTTGCAATATGCTATGAAGAACGACCATTTCCAAAAGCAGGGCCTTCTCATAACTTGCCCTCATTGAGTTATATTATATATAGTTGCTTATATTTATTAGTTTTACTAAACTGCCATCCAGAATAAAGCAAGATTTACAAAATGCAAATCTGTGCCATCTTAAAACGAAAACAGATTCTGTTCTCCTGAAATGCAGAAAATCTCTCCAAGCTTCAACAACATTCAAACTTCACTAATGCCTTCAGGTTTTTTCAACATTTCTTGTCCCCCAGTGTGTTTAAGATGGCAAGAAATCTAAACAGTGCAAAGAAACAAAAATCTAGCCAGTCACATTTTTGTGACAATTTTGGAATGTCCAAATATGCTAAAAACATATGCCACACAGATGAAAAATAGGCTACTGAGTTAAATAAGCCCTGTTCACTTTGAGTCTTTTTTTGTTGTTGTTAAACAATTACATGGTTCGCAGCACAACATAACTTCAGATAAAACCTCAGAAGTCATGTTCCCATGTGGCAAGCCATGCTATGCACTCTAAGTGTCAGACACTCCGGGAACTTAAATTCATCTATAATTCATGTCATCTCATGTTGACCTGTAACAGAAATGCTTTACTAAACACAAATTGTTTATTTTTGCAATGCATAGCCTCTCTATCTAGAACTGGTGTACCCATCCTACCTTGGTTCAGAGCTACTCCACAACACGTAGTTAGTTTCAGCAATCCCAAAAATTAGGTGTACAAGATATACAACAGTCTCAAAACCCAAAGCATGGTGGCATATTGTTAATTTATAGCATTCTCACAGTACTAAATATATCACAAAACACTTGCATACATTCTTAAATTGACTGGGATCTCAGATCCTAATTGGTATTCTTAATGAATTACATAAAGTTTTGGCTTCCTAAAAAATTTAGTTTTCTTGAAATTTCAATCCAAACCCTTTTTTTCAGTTCCATCCTTTACTCCAAGTTCAGCCTTCCTGTTAAAACATTTTAACATTGTACCTCTGACAAATTCTTAATTCTTCCACTGGGCTTTCCCAAAGAAACAAGTGGTTTTTCTGTCTTATTTACAGTTTCTTAAATTTGTCATTTTCCTTGTATAATGATGGATTTTAGTTAAGACTCCCTCTCATTTCCTCCTACTTAAATATCTTCAGATTCAACTTTCTTAGAATCTAATTTTCTCAGCTAGCTAAATTCAGTAAACCAAATACAACACTTAGCTAAGTTTCAGCATCTCATAGTAAAATTACCCTCAATTAGTTCCTTTCTGGAAGTACACATTTTTGATAGCATCTATTGTAAGTGGAGAAACTACTGGCTGGGATTCAGTTGAACAACTTAAACCTTCTACTGACTTGCTGACAAAAATGATTTCCTTTACTGTGTACACCATGAGAAAAAGATTCTGCATAAGTAAAGACTGCATAATTTCCTTTTTTGCTTTCCCCACCAGATGTAGTTGCATGTTTTCTCTGCTGAATTTGAGCTCTTATATCCGCCATCACAGGAGAAGTATCTGCTAACTTTCTGGAGTGCTTCCAATAGCACAATGTATTTATTTTCTCAGGCTCCTCAATGAAATGTGCTCTCTGTGGGGCTTTTGTGCAAAACCAGCAGCTTTGTGCTGAAAACTAAAAATGCTACAGATGGTCATTTCAGAGGTCTACACATTCAAGTAGAAGCTATGGAACCACCCCACTTTAGCAAGGGCAGGCAAACCCTACTGTGAGGGGGAACGAGGAAAGTTCGCAAAATATTAGCATGATTACTGCATATTGTTTACCTGTGATCAAGGTGGCTGAAGTCTTGCAAATTCAACTCTCTGGTATCTTGTGTCAGATAAATCGTATCAACATCCTGTTAAAAATACATAGCCAAATACATCTTTACAGAACTGTTGGTTTTTTTCAAGTACTATGATTTACCTGTTCTTTCATCAGTTGTACAGTTAGCTGAAAAGAGCTCCAGAACAAGACCTGTACTTACCCACT